CCTGGGGTTGGGGCTGGGGTTGAAGTGGGGGCTGTGGGTCCCTAAGTCAGGGCTGGGGCTCAGGTGGGGTCTGGGAGTCCTGGGGTCGGGGCTCGGGTTTTGGGGCATGAGCTGGTTGGTGCGCAGGTCTTGAGGTTGGGCTAGGGTCCCAGGGTGTAAGCTAATGTGTCCTCGGGTTGGGATGGGGTCCCAGAGTGGCAGTGGGTCCCGGGGTCTGGGGATGGGGGTCCCAGGGAGGGAGCTGGTGGATGCTGGGGCTGAGGCCTGGGTCCTGGGTTTGGGGCTGCGGTCCCAGGTTGGCAGCTGGGGGTCCTGGGGCTGGGCATGGGGGGTCTCAGGGAGGGAGCTCGTGGGTCGTGGGGTTGAGGCCTGGGTCCTGGGTTTGGGGCTGTGGTCCCAGGTTGGGAGCTAGTGGGTGCTGGGGCTTTGGCTTGGGTCCTGGGGTGAGAGCTGGTGGGTCCTGGGGTCGGGAACGGGGGTCTCGGCAGACAGGAGTGGCAGACGAGCCTGACCCTGGCCCCGCTGCCGCCCCACAGTGAATGCGACGCTGGTCGCTGGGTGTGCGCAGACCTGCAGTGTCCCGGGACCTGTGCCCTGGAGGGCGGCGCCCACATCAGCACGTTCGACGGCAGGAAGTACACCTTCCACGGGGACTGTTACTATGTGCTGACCAAGGTGGGCTGCCGCTCGGGCAGGCTTGCGGAAGGGAGCTCGAGACCCCCGCCCTCTCCCGCCCCCCAGGCCCTGTGCGGCTGCAACGCCCTCTGCCCTCCCCGCAGGATGCCCACAACGACTCCTACGCCGTCCTGGGCGAGCTGACGTCCTGCGGCTCCAGTGACAAGCAGACCTGCCTGAAGACGGTGGTGCTGCTGGCCGACAGCAAGAAGAACGTGAGTGCCCCGTCCCCTGCCGTCCCCGCGGCCCCGGGGTCCCCAGGGCCCTGCTCAGTCCCCCTCCGTCCCCTTGGCCTTGTCCACAGGTGGTGGCCTTCAAGTCGGACGGCAGCGTCCTGCTGAATGAGCTGCAGGTGAACCTGCCCCACGTGACGGGTGAGTCCTGCTCCGGGCGCGCCTCCCCCGGTGCGGGTGGGGGTGGGGGGAGGGCAGCACCCGCACCCCGGCACCGGCCCCTCACCGCCCGTGCCTTGCAGCCAGCTTCTCCATCTTCCAACCGTCCTCCCACCACCTGCTGGTGAGCACGGCCTTCGGCCTCAGGCTGCAGGTGCAGCTGCTGCCGGTCATGCAGCTCTTCCTGACGCTGGAACCAGCCGCCCAGGGGCACGTGCAGGGTGAGTGGCCCCGCCCGGCCCCCCGGGGAGGCTGCCCAGGGGCCTGCCCCCCCCACCCCTGACCCTTCCCAACCCAATCCTGGCCCCTCAGGCCTCTGCGGGAACTTCAACGGCCTTGAGGGTGACGACTTCCAGACGGCGGGCGGGCTGGTGGAGGCCACGGGCGCCGGCTTCGCCAACACCTGGAAGGCCCAGTCCAGCTGCCAGGACAAGGTGGACTGGCTGGACGACCCCTGCTCCCTCAGCATCGAGAGCGGTGAGGCTCGGCCCGAGGCACATGGGGTTCGCGGGGGGACGTGGCATGCGGGTGGGGTGTGGGGGTGACACTGTCCACTCCGCTCGGCCAGACCGTCCACCTGCTGCTTCTGCCTTGCGGCTGGTTTACCGTGGCCCACCATGGCATTCCGCCAAGTGACATGGCAGAGGGGCCGCGCCTGCTAGCCACTGGGTGGTGGTCCCCATCCAGCGACTCGACTCGCCGGGAGTCTCAGACGCCCTTCTTCCCACCTCATCCGGGAGGTGGAGAGGGGCGAGGGGAGGGAGCCCCTGCCTTCCCAGGCGGCGCCGCCCTGTGCCGGCTGCCCTAGAGGGAAGGGCCTCGGTTCCGGCCACAGAGGGGACGGTGTCTGCCCTTGCCCGGGGGACTGGGCCACTGGGCCTAGGGGATGAGGTGGAGGGACCACCCCCCTGAGGATCTGAACCCCACCTGCAGCCAACTACGCTGAGCACTGGTGCTCCCTGTTGAAGAAGACAGAGGCCCCGTTCGGCAGGTGCCACTCTGCCGTGGACCCGGCCGAGTATTACAAGGTGGGTGGGGCCGGCCGTGCACCCCCACCTGCCCGACTCGTGCCACCGCGGCGTGCCCCGTGCCCCGTGCCCTGGCCGAGCCCAGCCCTCTGTGGGTGTGTGCGCGACGAGTGCGCGTTTATAGGTGTGTGATGTGGGTCCGGGCGTCTGCAGGGTGTGTGCGGGCGCTGTGCACACACGGGGTGTGCGAGGCTCGCACGGCTGCACCTCCCCTCACTGCGCTGCCTGGTTCTGCCGCCCAGAGGTGCAAATACGACACGTGCAACTGCCGGAGCTCGGAGGACTGCATGTGCGCCGCCCTGTCCTCCTACGCCCACGCCTGTGCCGCCAAGGGCGTCCTGCTGTGGGGCTGGCGGGAGGGCGTCTGCAGTGAGTGCTGCACCCTGCGGGGCGTCCTGGGACGCGAGGCGGGCCTTCTCTGGCGCTGGCGGCTGGGGTGGGGCGGCGGCCCAGTGTCCTCCTGCAGGGCTCGGCGGGAAACCGGCCCTCAGCCACTCTGCTTGCGGGGAGGATCCCTTAGCCCAGAAGGGGAGGTGGGTGGGGCGGGGGCACCTGTGTGGCCACGGTGGTCCCGGGCCGCCTGCCCTTTGGGCCCCTTGGCTGGCGGGTGTCCTGGGACGGAGGTGGGGCTCAGGGACAGCCGTTGGGGACGGGGTGTGGGGCCGTCCTCCTGCCCCTCACGCCGCCCCTCCCCTCCGCAGACAGGGACGTGGGCTCCTGCCCCACCTCCCAGCTCTTCCTGTACAACCTGACCACCTGCCAGCGGACCTGCCGCTCGCTCTCGGAACCCGACACCCGCTGCCTCGAGGGCTTCCCGCCCGTGGACGGCTGCGGCTGCCCGGACCAAGCCTTCCTGGACGAGAAGGGCCGCTGCGTGCCCCTGGCCAAGTGCTCCTGCTACCACCACGGCCTCTACCTGGAGGCGGGGGAGGTGGTCCTGAGACAGGAGGAGCGATGGTGGGTGGGCTGGGCCGGGGAGGCGGAGGGTGGGGAGGGCAGGGGCTGGGCGGGGCCAGCTCTGCCTGGGGAGCCCGCCTGCCTGCCCAACACCACACAGCCCTTGGGCCCGCCCCCAGAAGGGCCGACCTCACCTGCACCTTCCCTCGCAGCGTCTGCCAGAACGGGAGGCTGCACTGCAAGCAGGTCCGCTTGATCGACCAGAGTAAGTGGGCGCTGCCCCGCGAGTCGCCTCCCGCCACCCAGGCAGCCCCTCCCCCCTCCCTTGCCAGCCGAGCCCCCTACCCAGCTTCAGCTCAAGTAAGGTGGCCCCTTCCTTCCTGCAGACTGTACGGCTCCAAAGATCCACGTGGACTGCAACAACCTGAGCGCGCTGGCCATCCGGAACCCCAGAGCCGCCAGCTGCCAGACGCTGGCCGCCGGCTCAGTGCGTGCTGGGGAGCGCCGTGGTGGACTGGGGTGCGGGAGGCTCACGTACCGGCCCTGCGGCTCCAGACCTCTGGACACACGGGCCTCACTGGCCCTGCCCATCCCTGCGGGGAGATGGCTGCCTGTGGGTCTCCACTGAGCCTGCTGGGGGCCAGGGGCCAGTGTGGGGGCCCCTGGCAGGCGGTGCTCAGCTGTCTCCCAGCCAGGTGGTGAGCCTGAGGGGCGGGGCTCCGGAGGCTGGACCGAGGAGAGAGGTCAAGGATTAGAGAATCCGGGTGGGGAGCGCGACCAGGTGCGTGCCGGTCAGAGAGGGGCGGCCGTGTAATCCCTGAACCCCACTGTCCCACTGCCCCCAGTACCAGACGGAGTGCATCAGCGGCTGCGTGTGCCCCGAGGGGCTGCTTGATGACGGGCAGGGTGGCTGTGTGGTGGAGGCGCAGTGCCCCTGTGTGCACAACAGTGACGTGTACCCCCCCGGGGACAAGATCAGGGTGGACTGCAACACCTGGTAAGTGCGCAGACCCCGGCCCTGCGGCCGGGCCGGCTACAGGGGACCGGTGGTGGTCTGCAGGCCGCCAGCCAGCTGGCTGGCTGGGTCCCAGCCCGACGGGGGCTGGGATACGAGGCCTCGTAGGTGGGGTTCGCCCGCCGATGGGGGGCTTTCGCCCGGTACCAGGCCCCCCGCAGCCCCTCCAGGCCCCTCTCCCACTGTCCTCAGCACCTGCCAGAAAGGGCGCTGGGCGTGCACCCAGTCCGTGTGCCACGGCACGTGTGCCGTGTACGGGAACGGCCACTACATCACCTTCGACGGGAAGTATTATGACTTTGACGGACACTGCTCCTACGTGGCCGTCCAGGTGAGGCGGAGAGCGCGGCCAGGGCCTGCCTCCTCTCCGTGGTCCCTGCCCTACTGACTCTGAGCTGGTCCCGGCCCAGCAAGGAGGCTCCGAGGGGAGGGGGTCGGGGGTGGGAGCGGAGCCCTTCCCTGGGCCCCTGGGGGGTCCAGGACCCTCCCGCGGGTTGGAGGGGGCTGTGGGGGCACAGGGAAGGCGGGGCGTGTGTGGGGGCGGCTGGGGCCCCCCTCAACATGGGAGGGGCTGAGGCGCGTCCAGGCCCAGCTGGGGTGGGGTGCCGGGACCCCCGCGGCTGGGCCGGCCTGGCTCAGGTGGCCCTGGGCCCGCAGGACTACTGTGGCCAGAACTCCTCGCTGGGCTCCTTCAGCATCGTCACCGAGAACGTGCCCTGCGGCACCACGGGCGTCACCTGCTCCAAGGCCATCAAGATCTTCCTGGGGGTGAGTGCTGCCCGCCCCTGAGGACGCTGGCTCCCGGGGGTCTTCCCGCCTGGCCGGTGACCGGGCTTTCCTGTGTGCACAGAGGACGGAGCTGAAGCTGGAGGACAGACACTGCACAGTGATCCCGCTGGACGTGGGCCAGCACGTGGCCTACACCACGCGGGAGGTGGGCCAGTACCTGGTGGTGGAGGCCAGCACTGGCGTCATCGTCATCTGGGACAAGAGGACCACCATCTTCATCAAGCTGGCTCCCTCCTACAAGGTGAGCCGCCGCCCTGCCCGCCCCGCCTCCCCCCGCCTGCCTGCCCCCAGGGGCCCTCCCTTCCTCGGGCCCCTCCCTTCCTGGGGCCCCTGGCCAAGCCCCTGCCGGCTGGTCTCTGCAGGGCAGCGTGTGCGGCTTGTGCGGGAACTTCGACCAGCGGTCCAGCAACGACTTCACCACGCGGGACCGCATGGTGGTGGAGAGCGAGCTGGACTTCGGGAACAGCTGGAAGGAGGCCTCCACCTGCCCGGACGTGAGCAGCACCCCCGAGCCGTGCACCCTGAACTGGCACCGCCGCTCCTGGGCTGAGAAGCAGTGCAGCATCATCAAGAGCAGGGTCTTCAGGACCTGCCACAGCAAGGTGGGCGGGGAGTGGGCGTGGACTGGCGGGGTGTGGGCGGGGAGTAGGTGAGGCCCTGCGGGGTGTGGGTGGGAGGAGGCGTGGCCTGGTGAGATGTGGGCGGGCGGAGTAGGCGTGGCCTGG